GCTCACTTAGCCTCTCTCCTTGCTTGCTTTATACGACATATTTTTTGAACATGTTCTGTAACCATCTTATTCCTAGATTTCTCCCCGTACATCTGAAATCACAACTGCCCAGGCAAATTGTTCTTCTGGGGTAAGAGTTTGTTTCGTTATTTAATCCAATTGATTACCTGGAATGTTTTCCCTCTGAAATCAAACCTCTGCTTCCCCTGTCCATCCCAGTGTGCAGTACATCTGGGCTGGATGCCACTGTTTTGATCCAGGGCTGCAGTTTTGTTCTTCGCATTGGCTTTTCTTGCTGTTGTATCGTAGCCACTCGCTCAGCTACTAAGCACAGACTTAAAGGATCACACTGTGTGCATTTGACCTGACTGTCTTTCTTTGTAAGTTAGTATGAGCCCTGGGTGGTTGGAGTGGCTGCAGGGATACCCAGCATTCTGGCCTTGGTCCTTGCAGTCGTCTTGGCGGTGGTCTGTGTTCTCCAGTGGAAGAACTACAGCTGGAATCAGGTGACTACCTTCTGTCTCCTGGGTGCCTTGCTACTTCCAAGCTTAGTAGACCTCCACATCAGAAACTTGATTCAACACCCTCTGCAGCTCTTGGGAAGTTCAGGACTCCATCCCTTGGCACTCAGACTGTCTCTGCTCTGTCTCTCAAAGGCTGGGCCTCAGCCCGGGAGTTGAAGGTTCATAAGGATAAAAGAGAAATTCACATGAAAATACTGAAGGGCCACTGTCATCTGTTAACTAGCAGGAAATTAAAGAGAAAGCGAACTATCACCACTGTTTTTCAGTTAATTTCTCTGTCATTTCCCATAGGAAACTGTTCATTTAGGGTTCCTCTCACTCCAAAATGGTGTTACTTAGCTCCAGAAATGCTCCCAAGGTGTTTTGTAGTACATTTATCTTGGTCACCTTCTTCCCATGTTCCAGGCCATGAGGTGTGTCTTCATGCTCTGCCTACCTCCCCAGTGCTGGGGTAGAGTTAGGAGTTTCTGTGGCATCACACTTCCTTCTTCTGGGGTGAAAAAATCACCCGCATCACCAAAGAGACAGTCAACCTGTCTATGGAGGAAGAATGCCATAGCTCATTCTGGCAGCCAGACATTGACAGTTCTACCTAAAAGGGCCCGTTCCTTCCCCTGCCACTTTACAAATATTTTTAACCAGCTCTCATAGTTGCATGGATCTTTATTTTCTTACTTAGAAAGGAAGGTACTGAGGAAAGGAACTTAGAAAGGCACTGTACTGAGGGAGATGATTTCCCTGTAGTTGTTGTTTAACGTCATCCTTTTTTTTTCTTTTCTGGATGTAAATGTTAAAGTGAGGGTTTTCCCCTGTGTTAAAAGACCAGACAGATTTTGGGTGTTCTAATAAAGGCAATGCTCAGGTACTGAGGTTTCCCCTCAGCAAGGTCATTCTCACGGGCAGTCATCAAGTGGACCCTGTGATTGTTCCAAATGAAAGAGCGTTTTGTCATCCAGTTTAGAATATGTTGGATAGGCTTTTTAGTCTGGAGAAAAGAAGACCGAGGAGGGATCTTATTACTTATAAATACTTAAAGGGAGGGTGCCAGGTGGATGGGAACAGTCTTTTTTCAGTCGTGCCCAGTGATAGGACAAGAGGTAACAGTCACAAACTTGAATATAGGAAGTTCCATCTAAACATGAGGAGGAACTTCTTTACTTTGAGGGTGGCAGAGCAGTGGCACAGGCTGCCCAGAGAGGTGGTGGAGTCTCCCACTCTGGAGATATTCAAAACCCACCTGGATGCCATCCTGTGCAACCTGCTCTAGGTGAACTTGCTCTGGCAGGGGGGTTGGACTAGATGATCTCCAGAGGTCCCTTCCAACCCTGACCATTCTGTGATATTATCCCAAATATTATCCCGTGTGGTTATTTATCCCCTGAGTATGTCCTGAGTTCTGGAGCTGTTTAGTAACAGAACATTTTCTCACTGCCCTGTGTTTCTTATGCAATTGTTTATGAATGGTAACTAGATGCTGTTTGTCACTGTTTCATTCATTGCTTCAGACGAATCAACATCCCAATGGGCAGGAAGAACATGAATATGAATCATCCCCTCCCAGACCTCCTGATGTAAGTCATCTATTAACTGCTTCTCAACATAGCACACATGCTGCTGAGTGAGTTACTAGATGCAGGACTGGTTTTAAGAGTATCCCCAGACCAACAGAGAACTGTGGTGGGTGACCCTGGCTGGACACCAAGTGCCCACCAAAGCTGCTCTATCACTATCCCTCCTCAGCTGGACAGGAGAGAGAAAGTATAATGAAAAGCTTGTGGGTCAAGATATGGAAAGGGAGAGATCATTTACCAATTACTGGCACAGGCAAAACAGGTTCAACTTGTGGAAACTAGTTTATTACCAAACAAATCAGAGTAGGATAATGACAAATAAAGACAAATCTTAAAAAAACCTCCCCCACCACCACCCTTTCTTCCCAGGCTTAACTTTACTCCCAGATTCTTTACCTTGTCGCCCTGCAGTGGTACAGGGGGACAGGGAATGAGGGTTGTGGTCAGTTCATCACACACTGTCTGTGCCACTCCTTCCTCTTCAGGGGGAGGACTCCTCACACTCCTCTGCTCCATGGGGTGCAGTTCTACACAAACTGTTCCAGCATAGGTCCCTTCCACAGGGTGCAGTCCTTCAGGACCAGATTGCTCCAGCATGGGTCCCCTATGGGGTCGCAAGTCCTGCCAGCAAACCTGCTCCAGCATGGGGTCCTGTCTCCATGGGTCCACAGGGCCTGCCAGGAGCCTGTTCCAGTGTGGGCTGTCCATGGGGTCAGACCTCCTTCATCTACCTGATCCAGCATGGGATCCTCCACGGGCTGCAGGTGGATATCTGCTCCACCATGGACCTCCATGGGCTGCAGGGGGACAGCCTGCCTCACCATAGTCTTCACCACAGGCTGCAGGGGAACCTCTGCTCCGGCGCCTGGAGCACCTCCTCCCCCTCCTTCTTCACTGACCTTGGTGTCTGCAGAGTTGTTGCTCTCATATTCTCACTCCTCTCTTCTGGGTGCTGTTGCTGAGGGAGGGTAGTGGGAGGGGGGGTACCCCTTCTTAAATACGTTATCCCAGAGGCACTACCACTGTTGCTGATGGGCTCAGCCTTGGCCAGTGGCAGGGGGGGCGCCGCGCCGGCGGGGGGAGGGCCGCGCTTCTAGCGGCTTCTCACAGAAGCCACCCCTGTAACCCCCTGCCCCCCGCTACCAAAATCTTGCCACACAAACACAATACAAGAGCTCATGGTAAGGTCTCTGCCCACTCTTGCCTGGGGCTCCTATGTGACTGCTGTTTCTGGTTGCACATATGTCCATTTGATGCAATCCCAGATGAGAGGCCAGCAATGGTTTGTCATTGTTTTAGGGTACAGAGGCATTAGAGCTGCATCCTGCATGGGCAAAAATGGAGGGAGAAGTAGGGATGAACCTGAGATGTGAGGAAATATGACATTTTCTTCAAAATACTGCCAAACATTTCCAAAGAGAGGTGGAAATTCTTGCATACTGTGTTCTCTGCAGTACTCCAAGTACCTCCAATTTCTCACAGAAATTATATTTTACCTCTAGGACTTTTATATGACTATGATGCAGGGGGCAACACATACCTATGTAAGTGAAGATCAAGACAAACACCGTGAACCAGACATCCAAACACAAGCAAAGCCCATGAGGACAAATAAGCTCAGAAGAGAGCCACCTGTGGTGGAATCTGTTTATGAAAACCATATGCCCTTACACTGAAAGAAAAGCACCAAATAGTGGCTGGGACTAGAAATAACAGACACAATCCTTTTCCTGGACACCAGGGGTCACACGGTTGCAGTTGATGAACAAGAGTGTGCATACATGAAATTCTACGGAGGACAGGACAAAGAGACTTTGGATGGGGAAAGAACTTATTTTCAATGATACCTCTGAGATGTGGAAGCAAAAGGAGATTCCCGTGGAGTACCCAGCCTCTCTGGGAGAGATGGTTTTTGCTGTCTTCCTAAATTGAAGTTAATTCATTTTAATAAATAATATCTAAATCCTGGCAGTGATACTGATGGTAGAAAAGAGCAACAAGAGAGTTGGTTGGAGTCTCCATCATTCAGGTGCCTGAGCTTCTCACAACAGCCTGCAAAGACAGGGATGCACTTTTCATTTGGGAGAAGAGGTCCAGACCATAGGTGAAATGAAGTGATATGCCCAAGAAAACTGGAAGGAGAATGCAGTTCCAGCTGCAGAACTTAGCCCCCGTGAAGGCAACTTCCCTTCATTCTCAGCTGTTCCTTACCCACAATGGCCTCTCACTTTCCTCTGTACCTTGGCATTTCAGCTGGGAGGTGGGGTGGGAGCGTGGTTCAGGCAGGAGACACCATCCACAGAAATGATCTCGTCAGCAGCCCCATCTTGATGTGTGTGGTGGTCCTGAGTGACCACAGTGACGAGGGGGCTGTACTGGCAAATGCCTCAGGGGAGAACAAAAGGCCTGGGGGACATGGTGGGCAGAGGACAGAGAGGAGCCATAGGGAAGGTGGTCCCAGCTTGTATAAAGGCTGAGCCATACAGCACCTGAGAAGTGAGAGGAGCCCCCAGGAGCAGCCAGAGGTCCCATCAGGAGGGTGAAGGCAGCCAGAGCTTCAGCGCTCTCCTCCAGGAGGGATGCTGCAGCTATCCTTTGTCCAGCAGGGGGCAGCAGGATTGGCAGCCCCAACAACAGCTGATAGAGCTATTGGTAGCCCCAGGGCTGCAGGACTCCCTTCCCCTTGCACACGGTGAGCCTTCCTGACTGGGGCTGTGCCACAACTGTCCAGGGGCTCCTTACAGGCAGCAGCACTGTGTCCAGTGGCTGAAGCAGGCAGGACCCTTGCCTGGGGAGGGACAGCCCTTCTCACAGGGCACTGGCCACAGGCGCTGCAGACCTACTCTGCAGTGGAGCAGGAGATGGGGGCACTGCCCCAACCCAAAGGAAATAACAGCTCAAATCATCATAAATAGATTTTTCTTTATTATTAACATACGCACATGCAGTGCTATCCATCTGCAAAGCATGCTGCTCTTGGTGGGACATGTGCTGTGGGAGAAGCAGGTTGTGGGCAGCCACGGGAACTATGTCTGTGAGAAAATCAGCTGTCTGATGCAGCCACTGCGCTCAAGGAGCCCGTGGACAGAGCATCAGTGCAGCAGGCTGCAGTGTCACCCAGGACCTCCCTGCAAGGTGGCAGCCAGGAGGCTTTGAAGGTGTCTACTCTGTGCATGTACCTTTGTTTGGGCTGTCTTCCTGGCAGCCTTGGGAAGGTGGGCCAATGCTTCTGCTGTTGGCTTTAGTAAGGGACATGTAAAGGAGTAGCCAGGCTTAGGACGCTGTGGAAAGAGTTTTCATGGTTTCCAGCGGGGGACAGCACAGAGTTGGTAGGCAGGAGGTATATTGCCTGTCCCACTCAGTGTTGGGGTTATGCTGAGTTCCTGGGGATCAACGATGGGCTTCAGGGTAAAGTTCTGCAAGATGATGGCCAGGAATAAGAATATCTCTATGCGTGCCAGGCCCTCTCCGGGGCATATTCGCTTCCCTGGAAGTGAAAACAGCAAACAGCGCTCAGTGGGTGTTGCTGAGCAGACCAGTTTGTACTAAGCAGATGTGTTATGCAGCTCTATTTACCAGATACAGCTGCAGCAGTGAGATGACTGTCAGGATTACTGAAGACATTTGCAAGATAAGAGTTTGTTGGAGAAAGATGGACCCCCACCCTTGGCGGTTTGTTTGGATGTGTGAAGGAAGAACAGGAGCAGGAGAAGCCCTGAATGTGGAGGGCGCATCACAAGAGGCAAGAAGAGAGAGTAAGGTGACATAAAGTGCAGGTGAGAAAGCAGAGGGTTGGGGCTATAGGTAGGTGAGTGGTTGCATGTAGCCCGAGAGGTATTTAAGAGGTGCTGGGGAAAAGTGCAGCTACCACAGAAAGATAGGTTGGTTAAGGATGACTATGGTGGTTGTGTAGGCAGGTGACAGGTATTTTAGAAAGTGTCAATGGGTCCCATGCACATCATTACATCGGCAACCCCCAGTAGGAGGTTTGAGAAGCCACCAGGCCTGAACAAGATGGGAGATGGAGCTGGGGAAGGGAGAAGCAGGGAGGAGTTATCCAGAGAGCAGTGAGTCCCAGGGAAGCACCAGTGGGGCAATGCTGGGAAGAGGGAGTGTGTGTTATAGGGAAAGGCAGGGTGGTCCCCAGAGGAAGAGGTTGACAGAGAGAGGGAGAGAGAGAAAGCCTGTGCTTTACCTGCTGAGAAGGGCATGAAGTACTCGCTCTTCCTAAAGGTGCCATTCTCATTCAAGAAATGTCCAGGGTTGAACTCATTTGGGTTTGGAAACTCTTTGTTGTCATGGAGGACAGAACTGAGGGCAGGAAAGATTGTGGTGCCCTGAGATAACACAAGGAGAAGAGCAGAATAGGAAGAGGAGGCGAGTCAGATCACTTAATCCAACTGCCTGCCAAGTTATGGCAGAGCTTCCCAGCACAGTCCTACTAGTGCCTTTGGTTTCCCTTTGGGGACCCTGACTTTGGGGAGGCAGTTTTCATGAGACCCTGGCTAGATGTCACAGCAGGCACAGTTGTTGGCTGTTCTTCCTGAATGCTGCTTCTCACTTTCAGACCATTTATCCTCACCTTGCTCTGATCATCTGGGGACACTCCAGCTTATTTTTCCTCTTTATTTTACCATAATGAGCTTGTAGATGTTCCTTCTTTTCTGCGAGCCCGGAAAAGCAAAAGCACACAAGGTTGTGGAAGTGAAGCTCTCTTCCCCTCTCCTGACAAATTTCTCCTGCCATGATCCTCTTCCTGACCAGCCATTGATGGAGGCATGGGATAAGTAATACAGCAGTGATGACACAAGAGCCCACTGCTGGAAGCTGAGCAGGTCCCCAGGTCCTGTCTTTTGATTTTACACAGACAGTTGAAAATCAAAACGCCAACAGCCCGTGTGCTGCTGTTCCCCTGCTGTACACAGTCACCCAGAAGAGCAATGAGCACTGCTGCTGCAGGCCAGGCCAGGCCGTGGGTTGCTGTAGCCCATTGCCCTGCCTCTGGCAGTGGCCAGCAGTGACTGCCTCAAGAAGCATGTAAGAAAAGGGCAAACAGGTTTTGCTTGAACAGGTTTTGCTTGTTCCCTTGAATGCATACAGAGCCTCCAGCATTTTGTGACTCAGGGGCTTTCTGTGCTCAATAACCACCAACTGACTTTGCTTCCAAGCATGTGGACAGGCTCTCCTGGATGCTGGTGAGCAGTTCCACGGCTTTGCTGCCTTTTGTGTGAGAATTCACTGCTCTGTTTTTTTGTGAACCCACTGTGTTTCTGCAGATAGGTAGAGCTTCAGAGCAAGTGAGCAAAGGTGCTGGCAGAGCTACTATTCCAGTCTTGGCCCATGGAGTGGCAACAAGGGATTGCAAGTGAGCTATAGAAGCCTAAGGATAAAACCTGCATGAAGGGCTGGATGACAGCTAGGTCTGGCCACAGCATTTCTAGCTTGTGGCTTGTAACTGACAGCCTCAGAGCAAATGTGCTTCCACCTTGTTGATGGTCTTGAAGGAGCTTGCCCACTAACCTTGGGAATGACATAGTCTCTGAAGTGGACGTCTTTGGTCACAGCACGAGGGACACTCAGGGGGATGAGGGAGATGAAGCGCTGGATTTCATGGACCACTGCATCTGTGTAGGGCATCTGGGTCCGGTCAGCCACACAAGGTTTTCGTGACCGTCCTACTACCCGGTCGATCTCTTCTTGAACTTTCTCTGTCATGAGAGGCACAAATCATAAAATGGGTAAATAAAACCAAACCTACCTAAACAGCTGTCCACAAATCACAGATGACAGGAGCATTGATGTTGGTTTTGGTGTTGACTAGAACACAGCTCCACCGTGGCCCATGCAAAGAATGTCCTCCTAGTGATGTGGCTAAATAGGAGTACTGGGAGATAAAGATGTGGACACAGTCAAGTCCTTGGCTGTGAGAGGAGTGCAGCTGATGATGATGCCAGTGAAGCTGAGGGATCTCTAGCGGCCACCCTGGGGAATGACGGTGCACGGACTTTGCCCGTTTGGGTAAATTATGAGAGAGAGAAGAGAAAGGTTGGGAGAAGGATGTGATGTTAAACACATGCTCAGCCCAGGGGGATAGCTAGAGAGGAAGAGGTCACAGACTGGTACCTTGTATCTTCGGGTACTTAAGAAGAAGCAGAAGCCCATATCTTATGGTGGTGCTAGTTGTCTCCGTTCCGGCAATGAACAAGTCGAAGGTGCTGGTTATCAGGTTCTTCATGTGGAAACTGGAATTGGGACGCTCTTTCTCCTAGGGAAAAGGCTGGGCTGTTTTTCTGTCTGAACTGAGAAAAGCAGCCCTTTCTTGTGTCATCCCAGGCCTTCCTTTTCACCTAGAGCTGTTGCATTTTTCTGCTAAGGTGCAGCAGCCATCTGGGATATTGTAATGCTATCTTTGTGCAGCGAGCTCAGCCCTAGAGCAACCTTCTTTCAGGCTGTGCACCAAATGGTATGTATCTGCCTGTTTGCCTTTGCTGTGCCAACTGCTTTCCAGTGAAAGAAGAGCAAGACCAGACTGCAAATGTCCCTGTGTTTCAGTGACAGCAGATGAAGGTCTCGCTGTGTAAGGAGCTGCAGGTAGCAGCTGGTGAGTGTGCAGACCCAGAGCTATAAGCTCTAGCACAGGCAATATCTGGGGTATTGATGGTGTCTTCCCACTGCAATTCCCCCCCCCCCCCCCCCCAGGCTGTCTGGGAAGGGGTCATCCCAATGTCTGTGTTAGAAGAGGGAAGGTGCTCCGCGTAGATGTGTTTGGGGATGAGCTGGGGCTGTATGCTGTCTCCTTACCTCCTGCATTTTGCTGAGGAAGCAGTCGATGAAATCCTGAGGGGAACTGGGATCTAGGGAGGCTTGGTGCATCTTCACCTCCTCTGACACAAAGGCTTTTAGATCATCAATTTCTGTGAATATTTTGTTGTGTGGGCCAGGCAAGTAATCCAGGATATTTGAGAACATCTGGTAAAGCTGGAAAGAAAGAAACAGGAAGGTCCCTAGCATGGCCATTGCCCCATCCTTTGATATTAGCAAAAAGCCTAGGAAGGCAACAAGCCTCTCAACTGAGCCAAGCAGAAGGGCTATGAGGCTGGGCAGCCTGACGGGGCAGTAGGGGCTTGCTTAGTAGTAGTAGGAACCTTAGAGGTAGAGAAGAAGGATGTCAGGACTAAGGGGAAGCTGGCAAAGCCACCTTCATTGGTAAAGGTGCTTCTTGCTCTTGAATGAATTCCCTCCTGTGCAGCAGAGCATTGATGGGGTCCTAGTTAGAAGACTGAAATGGGACTTCATTGGGAAGGAGACCTCCTGCTATCCTAGGAGAATGCTGCCACTGTGAAATGGCTCTTGAACGTACCTGTCCCCAGTGGGAGTTCATCATCTGAAAGATATTGTTCATGTTGTTCATCAGGGACAGGAACTTCTTGTCTTTATAGTCATATCGTTTCCCAAAGACAATGGAGCATATGATGTTGGAGATAGCACAACTCAGCATGAAGGTTGGGTCAAAAGGTGCTCCTGTGATTTCAGAAAAGTTACAAACCATAAAAAAACTTATGGGTACTGTGGGTAACCTGAGCTCTGGTTGTTAGTGGAAATATCAGATCACAGTCTCTGAGGGACACAGAAGGATCCTCCAAAAAGAACAGTATGTGATCACAATTATTTACTGCTTTGTAACGAGGGGCAGCCAGTGCATGGACAAAACACATGCAAACTTCAATTCTATGCTAAAGACATGGGGTCCCTTAATACAGTCCTTTTTTTGTAAACATAAGCTATATTAAAAATGGACCATACCCTTTGTTTTGTTGATCTCTTCCAGCAAGTACTCAGTTTCCTCCTGGATCCTCTCTTCAATGCTCCTCTTCCCCATTCCAAAGTTGCGCAGAGTGCTGAGAGCAAACCGCCGGACTTGTAACCACTCCTCGTTGTTGCTAAAAACAATCCCTGCAGAGGAAGAAGGAAGAGGGAAGACCTGGCTTGGGTGTGCTGGGTGTGAGATGAACAGAGGCTCACAGTGACAGTAAATCCTGTCCCTGGGAGAACACTGACATGGTAGTGTCATAGTGTACTGTGGTTTGGAGGCAATCGATGGAGGTCCTGTAGTCCAACTGCCTGCTTTTGGCCTCCACCACATCCCCAACCTCCTTGTGAACAATTCATCACTCATATCTGCATGTAATTTCCCTTGCTGCACCTGGTGGCTGTTGCCACTTGTCCTTTCACTGCCAATCATTGAGATCAATCCAACTCCATTTCTCTGCTACCCTCTTTGGGTGGTGGAAGCCAGCAATTACAGCCCACTCAGCCTTCCCCTCTCCCGGTGGGACCCACCCACTCCCCACAGTCTTCCCTCATGCATAGTACACTCCAGCCCTAATCTGCCAAACCCACCCTCAGCCCTTCCCTTCTCCTCAGAAGGAGCTCAGTCAGCAAACATACCTAATCCATTGTTAGCCCTGTCTCCTAGTGGCATGTGTCCTCTAGCAGCAAACTCATCCGCACGATCAACCAAGGCTTCTTTTACCACATCATGTCCATGCAGCACCACCACTGGTTCAGAGCCCAGGTGCACGGTAAACACTGGTCCATACTCTTCACTGAGCTGTCAAAATGCAAGACAGAACATGGCCATGGAGCACAGAAGGAGGAGGAGTTCAAATGTGGCCTTGCGGCTGCATCCCACTGCAGGCAGTACAGCCTCACAGACCAGCAGCATCAAGATTTGGTCCTCTCATGATAAATGTGGGTGTAGAGAGCGTTCCCAGCTATTCAGCCCTGGACACTAGCAACAGCAGTGAAGGGGAACAGCTGAGATCCTCATGGCTTTTCTGCTCCTCTGGGATCGCTACTCATCAAGCTATGGCCACAGGTTGTTCCTGTGCACAGGTCCCACACATTTTTTGCCCACAGAAGAAAGTAAGAGAGAAGAAGAAAGTGGCCTTACCTTTTGGAGGGTTTGGGCCAAATTCTTTGGTTTCACCTGCAGCACGTTACCTAGGACAGGAAGGGGAGCTGGTCCTGGAGGCATCTTCCCCTTTCCAGACCTCCCTCTCCATGCTGCGAAGGAGAGCAGGCAAGCAACGCAAACCAGAAGGACAACAGTGGCTGCTCCCAGGAGCTCCATTTGCTTCTGCAGCTCAGGAGGCAGTGACTCTGGCTGCCGGAGCCTGAGTTTATATACTGAAGGGCTATGTTAGCTATGTTCACTATGTTAGCTCAACAGCAGGTTTTGGATCACGTGGCTGAGTTAGTCAATATTGCTAGTCAATCATTTGTTAGACTGCCCTGTGTTATGAAACTAGGACTTCTCACAGTATTAATTGGTTATCAAAGACACGCCTTATGTCAAACAACTGCAGAGGCCAACAGAGGTTAAGAAATTTATAACGTGTTCATAAAACTTGTTTTGTTTCACCTAAAGTTCACTGTTAAAGAGATCACGCTAGGGGCGCACTCTTCTACTGAGGTGCTCCTGGAAAGTCACTGTCATGAGAGCATCTTCCAAGTACTTCAGTGCCATTTGGATTTTCTGTTTTTCAGTATTAATTGTACAAGCTTTCAGTGGGGTGAGCCATCCTCGCTTGTTCCTGAAGTCTTCCTGACATTATCAGTGGAGTTCACACTGCGTGTGATGTGCCAAAGAACATGCTGACGTGTTCTCCTCAGTGCACAGCAATTGCCTCAGTCTCTCTTCCTAGGGGTGTCTGGCCTCACAAGAGAGGAAAGTATAAAATATCCATCTAGCAAGGGCAGAAAGGTCTCCAGACATCACAATAGACAAAAAAGGACTTGCTGGAAGAGATAAGATAAAGACATAAGAAAAGGGGACTAGACCTTGGGATGCTAACTTCTTCAAGGTCTCCTAAGCAGATAGAGAAGAGAGAAATCAAGAACTTGAGAGGGTCTCTGGGGAATGGCTTCCCAAGCTGAGACAGAGCTGAAGTTGTGAGAGGCTGTGTATAGGTTAGTGCAAACTGGTAACTAGTCCTTGCACTTGCAATGACCAAAGAAGCCCACCCGACCTACTGCTGGAAGTTGGCGTGTACAAGTTCCTGTTTTGTTGATGTCTACCTCCAATATGAGGAACTGCTCCCCTAGAAGGACCAGAGGTGCTCTGGGAGACTGCAGAGCATGTCTGGTGTGTCCCAAGGACTTCAAAAAGAGCTGGAGGCTTCCTGCCCAAGATTACTCCAGGGGCTGCGTACCTGCGAGGTCCTAACAGCAATGGCAATGGCAAGTAGAAAGGACCCTCAGGGCTGCGGCACTGCGTGTGCTCAGCTTGGTCAGTCTGGCTGTATCCCTCTGTCTGTCCTGAGCTGTGACACTTTTGCAGGCAGACAGGAGTCATCCAACTGAGCAGAAGGTGTTGCAAGGACAGGGGATGTGGGACTTGGTGGGAATTAGCAAGGGCCCTGGGTGAACCAGATGTTTGGCTGGGGTGTGCTGGGTTTGCTGTGCAGCAGGTGTGTTAATGGGAGTTTCCCCTTCGCTCAGAGGTGTGAGTGAGGTTTTCCAAAAGTTTCTGTAGCTTCCGTATGAGTTCTTAAGTCATCCTTGCTTTCTTGTATAAGTTCAATGATTTGCTAGTTGTCCTTTTTTTTAATATCATTTCACTTCTTAAAGACATGTACTTAATACTTTGGTAAAAAAATTGAATTGCCAGTGATTGGGGGCTAGTCATTCGTCTGCTGACCTAAACTCCTGCATCAGCTCATGTGTTGCCAGGGCAGTTCATGGGAGTTCATGTAGCTCTAGGGACTGCCACCTGGTGAAAGTGGAGTTCATGGGAGTTTGCACTGCTACATGAGGTCTCTTTGCTACCGGAGTTCATGACCTTTCCATCTTCTCTGTAAAGTCCCCTTGTTCCTGGGGACACAGACTTACTGCTTAGCTCTGTCTCACAGTTTGCGACAGTGGAATGAAAACTATCGCTCTATAGCTCCAAAGTACTTTGCTTATTTGTTATTGTTTACCCATTTATCAGCTGATAACGCAGTGAAATGAAACATTCAGCAGTCACACAGCAGCTGTGACATTTGGGCAAGCTGTCTTGAAACAACGCTCAGCTTCAACAGAGATGCAGCCTCCCTCCCTGCCAAAGTACAAATGTTTTCCCCAGGTGCCTCTCGACCGTGGCTGCCCGGTGCCCGGGCCAGAGCTGGGAGGAACACATTTGGTTCATGAGCACTGCTCAAACAGCAGCCACCCAGGTATCTTGTAGAGATCCATTTGCTTCAGCCCCTGCTGCGCAGAGCAGCTGAAAAGGTCTTGTACATTGTGGAACAGCCCTCCTGGTTGGTACATGAAATGAGCAGTGTGCAGGGTAGGCACGGTGACGTTCTTCACCAGGCCCTGCAGCTCTCCTCACCCACTGCAAATGGGGCTGTCGTCCACAGCCAGGAGTGTTAAAGGGGAATCACCCCCATTTAGGTGTGCAAAGCCTCCTGAGCACCATAGTTTTCAACAGATTTCAAGTGGGGGGCTATTTCTGTGATTGTATGTCAGCACCCTGTGTCTGGCATGTGAAGCAGTGGCACTTTTAAAAGAGCAAAAGAGCACTGCCATTCAGCTTCTTGCACTCAGGACATGTAATGAGCAATTAGAGCAGCAGTAGGGTACATGGGGAAAAGCAGGCAGATCTCCTGGATGGGCCAGCGGTGGGAAAAACTCAGGGTGAGAAAAAAGGGTTTGAAGACCCTTCCCTCTACGGGGTCTCTATAGTAAATTGCACAGATGAGTTCCTCTCAGCTTAGTGATATGAATACAGACCCATCTCTTGACACAAGCTCAGCTCCTGCCCTGTGGTTTTCTTGAAAGGGTGCAAGCAGATAGATTGTGATGGGTTCAGAGCCAGGTGAGGGCAATGGAAGGTGTTAAACTGCCGGGCTGGGTCCACCTGGACACATCAGGAACTTCTGATCACAGCTGGCTCCACAATTTAAAAAGGCTAGGCTAAAAGCTGCTGCTTCACAGTCCTTAGCAAGAGAGCAGGATGGGTGTTGCAAGGCAGTCTAGGGCTGCATTTGGAGCTATGCTCTTCCGGGGTATTTTTGGTCCCCTTGCTTTGGTTGTAGGGACTCAGGGTAGTGTTTTTTCTGATCCCACCCTGCTGGCTTGTGGCCAAGAAAGCCTGCAACTCATCTTACCTCCAGGTTGGGAAGGGAATGCTTCCTTTGTGCTGACCACTTGGGGTAAGTGGGGGTGGCTTTCTTACTGCTCTATCTTTGCATAGTGTAGCGGTATGCCTGGAATGAGGGGGAAGGGGCAGGTTTTGATGGAAAGTGTTTTCTAACAGCTTCAGTGCATCTTGTGTAAGCAGTGGGCTGTTTATATGACCCAGCAGTCAAGGGTTTTGGTGGAATGTTATGCCTGGATCTAAAAGGTTTCGGCTGCTGTGTTCCCTTGTGCTCCCCTGCTGGCCCAGACCCTAATACTGGCTAAGGCCTTGTTTCCTACAGAAAGCTAGTGTTGTAGACCACATCTTCAATGTGGGATGCTGAAGCCCCTGCTGCTGTCTCCTTTTTCCCTAGACACTGAGGGGAAGGCACATGCTCTGCAGAATGACTCTGAGTGCGGGCTCTTTATATCTGGGACTCCAGATGGCTCCAGGAAAGTATTGGTCTCCTACACTGGCTGTTATGTTTTTGAATGGGTGAGTGACCTTAGGGGTTCTGCTGGGACTGTGGCTACTGCTGGTCTGGCTATCCTGACTGGTGTGTCTCTCCCCCAGGATGGCAATTACCTCATGCTGGTTGGGCTTGAAGGAACAGATGCTGCCGGACAAAAGTTTCTTCATGAAGAGAAACTTCTCAGGTGCCCTGTGGACCTTCCTGGTAAGACTCTGACAGGTCCTTGGGAAAGCCTGTTTGTATCTTGTGGCAATGAGTGCCCTTCCTTTCAGATGGCTGTTCCTAGTCAGTCTGGGGCTGGGAAAGGGGACTTACTGCTGTTTGGAAGACTCCCTGGAGAAGGGTTTGAACATAGGAGCCATCAACTTGCTGGGGACTTCTGCCTCCTTTGCAGGGTCAATAGGTGAATGTTCCTTGTGTCTCCTGGCTATATTCTGACTGCATGAGTCCCTGCAAGTTTCGGGATTAAGCCAGAGACTAGGTACAATGATTTTTTTTTTTTTGCGCTACCAGAATTGATCCAGAATGCTTTATCTTGATAGATCCCATGCAGTCTAGTCTCTTGTACGTGGCTTCAGGGGGAGTCTCTGTTGCAGGGAAATGCAGTCCCCTTCTGAGCAGGCCTCCATGTCAGCTCCAGGCCGTGTGTTTGACCTTCGCCTGAGTCAAACCTCCCTTGATTTGTATGCAGAGGCACCAGGACGCCTTCCACCAGTGTCCTCTGTGTCTTTGTCCCCCTGCTCCTGTGATTTAGCTGCAACTTCCTGCTGTTTCTTCCAGCCCTGGATGCTCCAAGCAGTAGCGTCTGTTCTGCTGTCTTCAGCCAAGACCGGCTGCCGTGTGCCTCCTTGCCTATCAGCCAGGGAGACTGTGAAGAGCGAGGCTGCTGCTATGACCCTCGGGACAGGGTGAAGCCCTGTTACTTCGGTAACACAGGTAAGTGAGCAACTGTCATCCCCTCCTCCTAGAGGAGCTGCAAACTGGGATTCCTCACTTCCCTGACAGAGCAGGACTGGTGCGTGCTAGTCCTGCAGGTGGCTTAGGGCTATGGTTTTTGGCAGAATACTCTGTCCCATTGAAGTGTTCGGCCCTTTCATATGTATTGCAACAGACCTGGGTTTATGGCCAGAATCAGTGTTGCTGTTCAAGCTGGTTGCGCCTGTCTTGCTGTGCTTAGCACTTGCTGTGGGGGTTACAGGTAGGAGATCTTGCAGGACTTGCTGGACTTGCCTTTGCTGTGATGTCTGAGCCTCCCTTGCATCCCTTCTCTCCCTGAGCTCAAAATTGATTATATCTCTTTCTCCAGTGACAGCTCATTGCACACCAGATGGCCAGTTTTCCATTGCCATCTCTCGGGATGTGACCCTGCCACCTGTTATCCTGGAGTCTGTGCAACTGGCCAGTGGACACAGTACTGGCTGTGTCCCTGTTGTGAAAAACAATGCCTTTATTGTGTACCAGTTCCCACTCTCTGCCTGTGGCACCACTTTTCAGGTAAGAGTTGTAGCTGTCAC